AGGCCTCGGCTACAGCAGCCGCCGTGGGTGGGGTCGCCACCGCTCGGTGCCCTCCAATCAGGAAGCAGGGGCAGACTCCAGACACGCCCTCTCTGACGTTATTCAAATCGTCCCCGGAAGCCCCGCCCAGTGGCCTTGCTGGGGAAAGGCAACCGGGACAGGTGGGTGTGGGCTCTCTAAGGGACAGAATAACTCCCACGTGAATCGCGCACGTCGTAACTGCCCTAAGAAATGCAGGAAGGGCAGAGAAGTGTCTAATTCTAAAGCGTATTTATTCATTCTGTCACTCCTTCAAACGTCCCTCTGTCCATGCACCTGTCCATAAATGAGCCAAAGCTTCGTGGAGCCAGACGCTGTGTTGGGTGCTGGCGGTAAATAACAACGAACCCTGTATTTGTCCTTAGGGAGCTCACAGTCTAGCGAGGAGTCCCGACTAACAAATGCTCGTACCAACTAGGCTCTTCTTACAATCATGGTCAGCCCTAGGAACTGTAAGGTACAGGTCGCTGCAACAACAAGGTGTCTAATTTAGACCGGGGCTCAGGTCCCTTGGGGAGTTAGTTACGCTGAGCCGACTCCTGAATCAACAAGTATTCCGGGCAGAGGAAGGAGCTTCTGCAAAGGTACTGAAGTTAGCGGGCTCTTGGGGGGTTCTGGGAAGGAAAAAGAGGTCAGTACAATAAAGAAAAGGAAGCAGGGAATGCGATAAGGCCCTCGAGGTTCGGGAGAGATTATCTGAAATACTGAAGGCCATGCTAAGGAAGTAGGATTTCATTCCAAGTGCGACGGGAAGCCAGTGGGTACTTGTGTTTTAAGAACTTCTTAGCTGTGTGTGGAGAATATCAGTAGTGGACCCAGGCGAGCGAGAGCAGACACTGGGAGACCTATTAGGGTGACCTTGTGGGTGCCCCCGGGCCTGAGGGTAGCAGCTAGATGAGAGGGGGAACAGGTTCAGGAAATAATTAGAAGATACAATCTCCAGACTGACTGGCTGATAGATTGAATGAGGGGGTTGGGGGATGACGCAGAGGGGAGTTAATATTAAATCACTCATTCATTGGACAATTATTTATAGAGTCCCCTCTGGTTGCCAGGCACTGTTTGAGAGAGGCAGACTCTCTGGGATCAAATCCTGGCTCTGTCACTGGCTAGCTGTTTTGCTTCGGGGAAGTTATTTAACCTCTCTTTATCTGTTAAACAGGGACCCTAAGAATGCCCAAGAGGATTATTGCAAGAGTTCAATGAGTTGGTATATGTGAAACCTTGGATCTGGGTGTTTATAATAGGTTCTGAGGCTGGGGACTTGGTCTTGAGTAACTTGGGGCTTGGTGCTTGGGCCCACTTCATAGAGTAGGCAAAGCTTCCATTTATTTACTCCCCTTGTCCAGAAAGTTTGTTTGTTTGTTTGAGACAGGGTCTTGCTATGTAGTTCAAGCTGGCTTCAAATTCACAGTGATCCTCCTGCCTCAGCCTCCTGAGTGCTAGGATTACAGGTGAGGGCTACCACACTCGGCTCCCTTATCCAGAAAGTTGGAGCAGGTTGATATGCTGGAGCAGTGGTTCCCACTTCTGTCGGTACATTAGGAATTTAGGAATCACTTGGAGGGTTTTTTTTTTTAATTCCGAAAGTCCAGGCAGCACCCAAGATCAATTACATCTCGATTGCTAGAGATGAGACGTGACACAGATGGCAGTATTTTTTTAAGCCCTCAGGTGATTTCAGAAGCCGGGTACATGGTGCCTGCCTGTGATCCCAGCAGTCAGAAGGCTGAGGCAGGAGGATCATCTGAGGCCAGCCTGAACTATATTGAGACGCTGTCTTTAAAAAGAAGGATTCCAGGTGTAGCAAGTGTGGGAATCATCATGGTAGCCAGAAACAAGGAAGCGACTTTATAACAGGAGGTCAGGAAGGGCTTCTCTGAGGAAGTGATTTTTGAGTGGAGACCAAAGAGTGGAAAAGGAGCTGTCGTTAGAAATTCAGGGGGAAAAGCCTTTGGCAGACATCTGACTTGGGCCCTCTGCCTGAAGTGGTAAAGACTGAGGGAAAAAGGGTCTGTGGTTGGTAGGTTCCAAAAGGTGGGTGAGTTATCATGGTTGAATGAAGACTTTTGTCCCTTCTACACGTTGAACCTGAGACTCTTGTAGCTGTTGGTGCTGGGTGTTGATGCCCCCACGCACCCCTGGACTCATCAAGAATTCATGCTAGCAGCTGACCTTTGGTCTGGGGATTTAGCTCAGTGGTTCCACTGCCTGCCTCTCAAGCGCAAGGTCCCAAGTTCGATACCTGGTACCTCCCCCCAAAAGAATTCATGGTCACCCACCAGGGCACTGGTCTGCCAAGAACACCACCTGTGGCATCACCCCCTTCTGCCACCTACCCCATCCTGCTGTGACGTGTAACTGAGCAGCCTCTGGCAGATACTCCTGCCAACCAATAACACTTCCTGTTCCTCACACCTGCCCCATGACAGAGGCGGGCCAGGCTGTCTGCTGGCCAGACAGTGGCAAGGCAGAGGCCCAGACGGGGACATAGCTGATCAGAATCATGCAGCAATGCTAAGTGGTAATAGGTCCTACACCAAGCCCCTGCTTCTCTGCTAACTAGTCCTGGTTTTGGGAGGCCTCTCTCTGCCTTACTTCTTGCTTCTGACCCTGCTGGGGTGATCTCGTTTTCCACTGGATGGGGTATGGGTGGGTGGAGGCCAGCACCACCCTGTACTAGCGTGTGTGAATAGAACAAAAGCAGTAAAATGACCTCAGTTGGGCTTTGTGGTTTTTTGCATGGCTGGACTGGCATTTCCCTTGATGTTGGCTACAGAGGAAGAATTGGTCCAGTTAATCCTAGGAAAATGACTTGAGACCAGCTCTCCAGCAGGGTAAAGATACAGTCAAAGGTCCACTGGGCACCTGCCAGCCTCTCGCTGGGTCCTAAATCCTCTATTGGGACCTGGAAACTAGTGGCTGGGGTATTTGAGGCCAAGTACTTGGGGCTGGGATTTTGGGTCTGAGTTCTAAGGCTGGGTACTAGTACTTGGGTACTTGGGGGTAGGTGTGTGGGTTTCCTTTTCAGAGCAACCAATGCTCCATTTCTTTACTGTTCTCTATTGAGGAGCCTGAACCCTTCCCTGACTCTCTTCTTTGTGGTATCACAACACATGCCTTCTCACAATGGCCCTGCCTGTCTCGACTGTCTGGTCTTTGGAGATGCCAGGGTGAAAGGAAAAAGAACGTTCCACTGAACCTCTTCATGGGGCATCTCTGGGACCCCATATCTTGATCCTTAATCTTCCACACCCTCCCCTAGCCATCCACTTAAAGGAAGTGGCTCCTCAGTTCTTCACAGGAAGCCACAGGCCTCTCTTCTGCTTCAGCAACCTCCAGCTGCTGCTGGCCCAGGCCCCTGCTGGCCCAGGCCCTTTTCCAGGCTGGTTTTAGGGACGCCCTGTTCCCAGCATTATCCCCTGTGCCCAGCCCGGAAGTGTGTGCGGGTGCGTGCGTGTATGTAGGGCTCCTCTCATTTCCTTTATTTATTTACTTATTGGTACCGGGGATCGAACTCGGGACCTTCCACTTGCAAGGCGTAAATGCAGAACCACTGAGCTAAATCCCCACCCCCGCTTCCATTTCCTTTGAATTCCTGCGGCTCCACCTGGAAGTACAGCGCTGCGGGCCTGGAAGCAAGACCTAATTTGCAGAGGGTCCTGCGGGCCGGGTTCAGGAGTACAGCTGTCCCGGAATTGCGGGACTGAGCATCCGGAAGGAAGAGGAGGGGGCAGCCCTGCCGGGATCTTCGGGATGGATCGCTCAGGTGAGCTTCAGGAGTTCCTGCCGCAGAGCAGGGGAGGGGTCTATTCATTTCAGACCCTGGCGGAGCCTGCCCCAGGGAGGGCTGTTGGTAATTATCGAGCTGCTCAAGGATAATGAGCGCTGAAGAAGCTTCCAGCCTAAGGCTGCACTGCCACCTGGTGGTCACACTGACACGTTGTACTACGAAATTGTGCCCCTTCCCTCACACACCTTGAGGGGAAAAGGGGTAGACGGTCAAGTGTAGGGGGTCTGGAAGGCCCTAAAAGGTAAGAAAAGTCCTTGATAAAGGGATTATTGTTATTAAAGACCAATTTATCTCTAAGCGGGGCGCAATGGTATGCTGAGGAGGCTCAGACAGGATTATTTGAGCCCAGGAATTAGAGGCCAGCCGGTCAGCATATCGAGATTCCATCTTGGAGGGACAGGGGCGACTCTAAATCAAGAATTTGGGAACCATTTTCTAGTTCTAAATGAGAGACAAACTCCTTCTGTCTGCCGTTTCACACACTAAGAAATGGAGGTCCAGAGAGAATTGATGAAGACAAAGGACCCACGCTGTCTTCCAGAAAGGCAGTCAGAGACGAGATCTGTTTTATCTTATTTGGCCCCCGGGACCGACTCTACCACTGAGCTTCACTGCCATCCCCTGGGATCTGTTTCTGGGGTCATTTTAAGGTTTGGTTCTAGCGTGAGGACCCCCTGCTAATTTCTAGTCACCGATTTGTGACCAAATACGGCAGCTTCCAGCACCACCACCCACTTTAGTCATGGAAGTTG